TGACGGGGTTTCACCATGTTGACCAGGATGGTCTCGATCTCTTGACCTCGTGATCCACCCGCCTCAGCCTCCCACAGTGCTGGGATTACAGGCTTGAGCCACCGCGCCCGGCTGCCCATTTTCCCTTCTAATGAAAGGTAGATTAAAACTGAATTCATCACATCTCACAGAAGAAAAAAGTACACACATTGATCTTTTAGTTTTTTATTTTGATTCTGATGGATGGACAAGGTATCTACATTCTAGAACATCTTCTTAATCCCTAAACAAGTGAAAATCTACTTACTTATTCATAAAAAGACAAGGAGAAAAGGTCATGATTGTCTAACAGGGAACATGAACCCCCAAATAAATTATCTTACAAAAATATCATACTTGCTTTTCTATTTTTTTACTACTGGTAAAAATGAAAAAAATAATTCACATTAAAATAAAATCTGTAGGCTGGCATAGCAAGACAATTGTTTTTACATATTAAAGTCTTTCAAATAAATATTTTACACACGAATTTAAGTTTTCAAAAAAATAGGTTATTTCCTATATTTTTTTTGTCCACTAAGAGACCACTTATCAAACTGACATTAAACTGGACTGCAGGTCATACTCTGCAAAGAGTAAAATGCATGTCACAGGCAGGTTGGATACACACAAGGGCATATTTCATACATTCGAAATGGCTAACACTGCTGTGCATACTACTTCCATAAGTAGCTTTACCCTGTAAAAATACTGTAGCCTAGGCTGGGCGGGGTAGCTCACGCCTGTAATCCCAGCACTTTGGGAGGTGGAGGTGGGCGGATCATTTGAGGTCAGGAGTTGGAGACCAGCCTGACCAACATGGTGAACCTCATCTCTACTAAAAATACAAAAATTAGCCAGGTGTGGTGGCTGGCACCTGTAATCCCAGCTACTTGGGAGGCTGAGGCAGGAGGATCACTTGAACCTGGGAGCCGGCGGTTGCAGTGAGCTGAGATCATGCCATTTCACTCCAGCCTGGGCGACAAGGGCGAGACTCTGTCCTTACCCCACAACCCCCACCACAAAGAAAGGAAAAAATTATAATGTTTTGGGGACCTAAAGATTATTGAAGATGGGATAAAAGTCAACACTGCTTACAAATACCTGAACACGGAGAGCACAGTCAACATATTCACCTGGACAGCATATGAGCAAATTAATATATTACACAGCTTCTGATCTCTTCCTCTTGTTTTATTCTAAAGAAACTTGGATCCTTTATGATAATTTAAAATATAATATTATGTTAAATTTTCCTGGTCTAATAACCAACTGTAAGAAGTACAGTGGAAGGGTATAGAACTTTCTACATCTTCTCATACTTTTAGTCAATTTGGTTTTTATTATGATGCAACGCTTTAGTTAACAGTATGCTAAAAAAAAGTGGACTGAATTATGATTTTGTCCACAACATTCAAGTCTCTTTTTGCTAAAATATTACAAAATGAATCCAGTAAACACTTTCCATTTCCAATGGCCTAGGTTAGAGATGAATTCAACTTTTTTTTTAAAAAAGCGATTACAATCACACTGGGCTGAGGACAGCTACGTTAAACCCTGAAAACAAAAGCCAAGCACTCAAACATCTAAAACACTAACACTTTCCATCCAGGATAGAAAAATGAGCATCCAAAGTAAAGAGAACCACAAGACTGATCAAGTAACCAATCAAAAACCACTTCTCTGTTATTTGAACTTATAGTTACTCGAAGCTTGAAGTTTCCACCTTCACTATTGGTGGTTCCTAGAGTCACGGCTTCAATGTCAAATGTTACAGTGGACCCAGAAGTAACTGCAGGTAACTGATTTGTCATTTCTTTTCCATTGACAAAAACTGCTCCTAAAATGTTAAGGTAAAGAGTCATTTACATGTGAGCAATAACTAAGAGACCTGAAATAGTTTCTAGATTACTGGTAACATAGCTAATTTGCTAATTCAGATTAAAAAAAAAAACAAAATAAACTTGACTTAGCTTTTAGAGTTCTGGTGCAGGACTCTACTCTTTGTTTTTTTTGTTTTTGTTTTTTCTTTTTTTGGACATGACTACTGCAGTACAGGGCTCTACTCTTTTCCAGCAGAGACTATGAGTTTCTCATATCAATGTTATGAAAAGAAACTTGACACTGTTACAAAATTACTTCCTGTGAAATAGCAAGACTGTTTCCTATGGAATAAACAAGAATCTTATTCTGTGTAATTCTTGACTCAACAACACAATTTTTTTTTTTGAAAGGAGTTTCACTCTTGGCTGACCGAAATCTCTGCCTCCCAGGTTCAAGTGATTCTCCTGCCTTAGCCTCCTGAGTAGCTGGGATTACAGGCATGCCCAGCTAATTTTGTATTTTTAGTATAGACGAGATTTCTCCATATTGGTCAGGCTGGTCTCAAACTCTGGACCTCAGGTGATCTACTTGCCTTGGCCTCCCAAAGTGGTGGGACTACAGGTATAAGCCACCACACCTGGTTCCCCCCCTTTTTTTTGAGACGGAATCTCACTCTGTCACCAGGCTGTAGTACAGTGGCACTATCTTGGCTCATTGCAAACTCCGCCTCCTGGATTGAATCAATTCTCCTGCCTCAGCCTTCTGAGTAGCTGGGATTACAGGTGCATGCCACCATGCCCAGCAAATTTTTGTATTTTTAGTAGAGATGGGGTTTCACTGTGTTGGCCAGGATGGACTCCATCTCTTGACCTTATGATCTGCCCACCTTAGCCTCCCAAAGTGCTGGAACTACAGGCATGAGCCACCATGCCCGGCCAACAACACAAAATATTAACATGTCATGCTAATAATTTTTAAAGAGCACTAGAGATGTAGACTGAATGATTTATTATTTGTAAAGAGTTTAGAACAATGCCTGGTACATAGTAGTTACATAAATCATGTTATTAAGACCAAAGCTTTCAGCCAGTCATGGTGGATGATACCTGTAATCCCAGCACTTTTGAAGGACAAGGTGGGAGGATTGCTGGAAACCGGAAGTCAAGACCCACCTGGGCAACAACTTATCTTTACAAAAAAGTAAAAATAAAAAAAAAATTAGCCAGACAAGGTGGCATTCACCTGTAATCCCAGCTACTCAGGAAGCTGAGGTGGAACGCTTGGGCCCAGGAGGCTGCAGGGAGCTAAGATCATGTCTCTGTGCTCCAGCCTGGGTGATGAAGTGAGACTTCATTAAAAAAAAAAAAAGAAAAAGAAAAAGACCTAAATTTTCTCATCTCCTACTATAAATGTGTGAAACTGGCAAAGATTCATATATTACTATAATAATTCATATATTTCCAAGAGAATGACAGTTATTCATCTCTTACCATTTGTACTAATGCACACAGCTTGGTCCCGCTGCAGAGAGTCATATCCATCCTGCTTTTCTGCGCACACTCCTATGCTATCTCTTCTGTCTGGTTGTCCCACAGTTTCAACTCTGTAAATGAAGTAGAAAGGTCATTTCATACTTATTTTTTTTTTTTTAATTTTTTTTTTTTTGAGACGGAGTTTCGCTCTTGTTAGCCAGGCTGGAGTGCAATGGCGCGATCTCGGCTCACCGCAACCTCCGCCTCCTGGGTTCAGGCAATTCTCCTGCCTCAGCCTCCTGAGTAGCTGGGATTACAGGCACGCGCCACCATGCCTAGCTAATTTTTTGTATTTTTAGTAGAGACGGGGTTTCACCGTGTTGACCAGGATGGTCTCGATCTCTTAACCTCGTGATCCACCCGCCTCGGCCTCCCAAAGTGCTGGGATTACAGGCTTGAGCCACCGCGCCCGGCCCCATACTTATTTTTTTTTGAGACAGAGTCTTGCTCTGTCACCCAGGCTGGAGTGCAGTGGCTCGATCTTGGCTCACTGCAAGCTCTGCCTCCTGGTTTAAGCAATTCTCCTGCCTCAACCTCCTGAATAGCTGGGACTACAGGCAAGCACCAACACGCTCGGCTAATTTTTGTATTTTTAGTAGAGATGGGGTTTCACCATGTTGGTTAGGCTGGTCTCAAACTCCTGACCTCATGATCTGCCTGCCTTGGCCTCCAAAAGTGCTGAGATTACAGGTGTGGGCCACCAAGACCAGCCCACTTCATACTTTTAAAATGCAATATGAATGATACCTAATAGCCACCAGCTTAAAAAGAACAATCTTACCACATTGTTTTTTTCTAAATAATCATAGCAACCATGATTGAGTTCTTGCTATACTTCAGGCACTGTTCTAATTATTTTATATCTACCTTCTCATAGCAATTTATGAGGTAGGTAGTATTATTATTATAAAAAAAAATACAAAAATTGGCTGGGCATGGTGAAACCCCATCTCTATTAAAAATACCAAAAAATTAGCAGAATGTGGCAGTGGGCACCTGCATTCCCAGCTATTTGGGAGGCTGAGGCAGGAGAATCGCTTGAACCCAGGAGGTGGAGGCTGCAGTGAGCTGAGGTCGCACCACTGCACTCTAGCCTGGGAGACGGAGCGAGACTCCATCTCGAAAAAAAAATAAAAGGCAGTAACAGCCTACCTCCTACACTATTAGGATTAAAGAAGGCTGTTAGCACCTAAAGCACCTTCACTTTTTTTTTAGAGACAGGGTGTCACTCTGTCACCCAGGCTGGAGTGCAGTGGCACATTCTTGGCTCACTGTAGCCTCTGCCCCCTGGACTCAAGCAATCCCTCCACCTCAGTCTCCCAAGTAGCTGGGACTACAGGTGCATGCCACTTTTAATGGCCAGCTTTCTCTTTCTCTCTTTGAAGTCTTGCTCTGTCACCTCTCAGGTTCAAGCAATTCTCCTGCCTCATCCTCCTGAGTAGCTGGGATTACAGGCGCATACCACCACACCCAGCTAAATTTTGTAGGCTTTCTTTTTATTTAATTATTTATTTATTTATTTATTTTTTTGAGATAGAGTTTTGCTCTTGTTGCCCAGGCTGGAGTGCAATGGTGCAATCTTGGCTCGGTGCAATCTTGACTCACTGCAACCTCTGCCTCCCAGGTTCAAGCAATTCTCCTGCCTCAGCCTCCCAAGTAGTTGGGATTACAGGCATGTGCCACCATGCCCAGCTAATTTTGTATTTTTAGTAGAGACGGGGTGTCTGCATGTTGGTCAGGTTGGTCTCGAACTCCTGACCTCAGGTGATCCACCCACTTCAGCCTCCCAAAGTGCTGGGATTACAGGCGTGAGCCACTGCGCCAAGTAGGCTTTCTCTCTTTTTTAAGAGAAAAGTAGTGGTAAAGAGAAATTTAAAACATGGTTAAAAAATAAGATCGGCCAGGCGTGGTGGCTCACACCTGTAATCCCAGCACTTTGGAAGGCAAAGATGGGTGGACCACTTGAGTTTAGGAGTTCGAGACCAGCCTGGCCAATATGGCGAAACCCTGTCTCTATGAAAAAAAAAATACAAAAATTAGCTGGGTGTGGTGGCACATGCCTGTAATCCCAGCTATTTGGGAGGCTGAGGCATGAGAATCACTTCAATCCAAGAGGAAGAGGTTGCAGTGCGCCAAGATCATCGTTCCATTGTATTCCAGCCTGGGCATCAGAGTGAGACTCGTCTTGGGGGGGAAAAAAAACAAAAAACAGGGCTGGGTGCGGTGGTTCACACCTGCAATCCCAGCACTTTGGGAGGCTGTGGTAGATAGATCACTTGAGCTCAGGAGTTCAAGACCAGCCTGGGCAACATGGTGAAACCCCATCTCTACAAAACATACAAAAATTAGCTGGGTGTGGTAGTACTCCTGTAATCCCAGCTACTCAGGAGGCTGAGGTGAGAGGATTGCTTGCATCTGTGAAGTGGAGGTTACGGTGAGCTGAGATCATGCCACTGCACTTCAATCTGGGTGACAGGGTGAGACCTTGTCTTAAACAAAAAGTAGCGAAAGGTGGGGAGGGGAAGGAGAAAGAAAATAAATCTTTAAAAAAAAAAAAATCAGAAAATCTGAGAAGCAAGGAAAGAGCAGGAATGTTCACACAGGAAGTCAGGGAGACTGCAAGGAGTGGGGTGCTAACAGACCTGAGCATCTAATGAGAGTGCGTCTAGAGACTGTTACAATCCAGCCAGTAACATAGGTTTCTCTGGCTTCAGCAGCTCTAAGCCTTACAGAAACTTCAGCAGGGACCAACTGGGCTAAATAACAAAGTAGTGCCTTCAAGAGTATAGTCTCCCTTCTAAGTACTAGGCCCTTAAGCACCCTCAAAAAATAAATACTGTTTCTCTTGATTCAAGTAGGCCCACTTGCTCCTTCCTTAGGCACGGAGTCCTCTTGCATTCACATCTCTGGCTTCAATGCCAATGCCTTAAATTCCTTTAAACAAGGGGAGAAAACATTTTCGTTCCACAGTCAAAGAAAAACATGACAAAAATGCAAAAGGTTTGCTATGACAATACTGAGTTAAATGGAACTTCAGGTAATCACCCTGCTAAGTGGGACCTGATGATGCATCTTTAGGAGAGGCCAGACAGACTAACAGTTTATTGAGACCTACTATGGCTTTCACATCATGGTCAGCAGAAGTGAATTTAAATCAATTTGTATAATTTCCAAGGTCCTAGTAAATATTTACTGAATGATTTAAGAAATAAACCTAAGTAGCAATCTATAAGACATTACCATGTATCCAAGGAGGAAGAATTTAAAAAGCAGGAGAGCATCAGATCAAGTGGTAAAAGGTCATACAAGGTAAAAGTTAAAAGAGCTAAGGGTACAGTAATAGAGGAACTGTAGACTTCAACAGTGACTAGAATCACACTCTCCCATGAAAAAGATGAAAAAGAAGCAAGACAGACCAGTCTGGAGTTAGACTGCCTGGATTTAAATCCCATCTTTGGCATTTACTAGCTCTGTGACACTGGGTAAATAATTTCTCTGTGCCTCCATTTCCGCATCCCTAAAATAAATAACTAAATCTATCTCACTGGGTTACTATGAAAACCAAATGAGTTAATACAAGTTAAGACAATACATGGCACATAGTAAATATTATTTAAATATTAATTGCAATTATTATCATTATTGTAGTCTGAGATCAAGTTAGGAAGCTCTGTAACTGCACAGAAACACCTTGTTCTCAGGAAAGTCACTAATGGAAATGTTTCTGTAAAGAAGGGACATAAGCAGAGGAGTATGTTAGTGCAGAAACTCATGATTACCTGGGGAATAATTAAACAGATTTTAGGTATTAGTCTTTTTTTTCTCTCTTTCTCTTTGTTGGTATTTTTCTGGTTAGAGTCATTCTTTTGTCATTAAAGGGTGAGAAGAGGTATCAAAAATTAGACAAAACATAAACTAGTATATTCTGACAACTGTTGACAATTCAAATTACTTAGCTGGAAAGGAACATAGCAACATTGACTTAGATAAAACATTCGGATACTCTCCATGCCTTAAATAATAAGGGCATGAGAACAAGAGGAACTCAGGTCAAACATTCACAATAAAATTTCATCTCAAGACTTAAAAAACGTAAAGGAGAGCTTGTTACACTAACGTGAGTATGGTGAAAATCAGGCAAACTTAACTTCTTTAAGTCAAAACTGATCTTTGGTTTTTAGGAAGAGCTATTTAGAAACATGACCATATGGCCGGGCGCGGTGGCTCACGCCTGTAATCCCAGCACTGTGGGAGGCCGAGGCGGGTGGATCACAAGGTCAAGAAATCGAGACCATCCTGATCAACATGGTGAAACCCCGTCTCTACTAAAAATACAAAAAATTAGCTGGGCGTGGTGGCACGTGCCTGTAATCCCAGCTACTCAGGAGGCTGAGGCAGGAGAATTGCCTGAACCCAGGAGGCGGAGGTTGCGGTGAGCCGAGATCGCGCCATTGCACTCCAGCCTGGGTAACAAGAGCGAAACTCCGTCTCAAAAAAAAAAAAAAAGAAACATGCCATAAAGAATACATCTCAGGCCAGGCACAGTGGCTCACGGCTGTAATCCCAGAACTTTGAGAGGCAGAGGCGGGTGGATCACAAGGTCAGGAGTTCGAGACCAGCCTGACCAACATGGTGAAACCCTGTCACTACTAAAAATACAAAATAGCCGGGCGTGGTAGTGTGCGCCTGTAGTCCCAGCTACTCAAGAGACTGGGGCAGAAGAATCACTTGAACTCAGAATGTGGAGGTTGCAGTGGGCTGAGATTGTGACACTGTACTCCAGCCCGGGTGACCAGAGCAAGACTCCATCCAAAAAAAAAAAAAAAATTACATCTCAGGTAACACAAACAGACTCACTCTGTCACCGGGTGCCAGGCTGGAGTACAGTGGTGCGATCTCAGCTCACTGCAACCTCTGCCACCCGGGTTCAAGCAATTCTTCTGCCTCACCCTACCATGTAGCTGGTACTACGGGCACCTGCCACCACGCCTGGCTAATTTTTGTATTTTTAGTAGAGATGGGGTTTCACCATCTTGTCAGAATGGTCTTCAACTCCTGACCTTGTGATCAACCCACTTCGGCCTCCCAAAGTGCTGGGATTACAGGTGTGAGCCGTCAGGACTGGCTTTTTTTTTTTTTTCTTTTTTTTAGACAAAGTCTCACTCTGTCGCCCAGGCTGGCGCCATCTCAGCTCATTACAACCTCTGCCTCTCAGGTTCAAGCGATTCTCCTGCCTCGGCGTCCCAAGTAACTGAAATTACAGATGTGTACCACCAGGCCCAGCTAATTTTTGTATTTTTAGTAGAGACAGGGTTTTGCCATGTTGGTCAGGCTGGTCTCAAACTCCTGACCTCAGATGATCCACCCGCCTTGGCCTCCCAAAGTGCTGGGATTACAAGCGTGAGCCACCTCGCCCAGCTGCCTCTAAATTTTTAATATTGATGTTTGAGAGATAGTCTACTTACTTCTACTTACCAAGAGGAAAAGACATAAACATATTAAACATCAAGCATTTTACATACATTTCCCAGTTAATCTACATAATAACCCTATGAATACAGATGAGAAAACTAAAGGTGAAGGAAATAAAGAAGTCTTCCCACAGTAACACTGACTATAAAATGATGGAATAAGCTCAGGATGTTTTGAATTCAAAGCTCATGTATGCTCTGTGCACTTCACTCTGCTTCCTGAGGCAGGTGAGATATTTTAGTATCTACTTGCCTGAATGTTAATGTCTGCCCACAAAAATAAGTTGGAGCTCTGGAGTAGAGAACACCTGATGATTCAGAATCGTTCCGGAGTGCTATATTTCTTCGACTGCTCAGACTGTACCCCTCAAAGCCAGCTGTCCATTCTTTTTAAAAGCAAAGATATTGAAAACTGTTAGAATCTCTTGAGGAATATCTTCAATACAGACACATCAAATAAAACATGAAAATGGGAAAGACTACTCGTAGGGGCCATGGTCAAGTTCAATAAAAGAAAAGATTCCGCTAACAGAGTATCATGATGAGTCCCACACATTATAAAAAAGATTTTAGTACATTCTTGCATAATTTTGGCATAATAAATCAAATAAGTGTTATCTCCTATCTAATAAAATCACAGTTCAAACATAATTGCTTGAACTTATTCCAACCTCATAAAAATCTAATTAATAAATGAGTCTACATCTTCTAAAAAAGAATGCAGGAGAGAGATCAATTTCAAATCATAAGACTTAAGAAAATGTTCCTCTCCAGATATTTCTTGAGGTTTTGGAAAATCAGCATCAGCTGGGCACAGTGGCTCATGCCTACAATCCCAGAATTTTGGGAGGTCAAAGCAAGAGGATTGCTTAAGCCCAGGAATTCAAGACCAGCCTGGGCAACATAGCAGACCCCGTCTCAACAAAAAAATAAAAAATTAGCCAGGCATAGGGTGCACGCAGGTGGCCCCAGCTACTTGGGAAGCTGAGGGAGGAGGATCTCGAGGTCAGGCTGCAGTGAGCCATGATTGTACCACTGCACGCCAGCCTGGGTGACAGAGCGAGACCTTGTCTCAAAAAAACTAAACAAACAAAATTAAAAGTAAAAAAAGAAGAAGGGCCGGGTGTGGTGGCTCATGCCTGTAATCCAAGCACTTTGGAGGCCAAGGAGGGTGGATCACCCGAGGTCAGGAGTTCAAGACCAACCTGACCAACATGGTGAAACCTTGTCTTTAAAAAAAAAAAAAGAAGTCCAGGTGCAGTGGCTCACGCCTGTAATCCCAACACTTTGGGAGACCGAGGCAGGCGGATCATGAGGTCAAGAGATCCAGACCATCCTGGCCAACATGATGAAACCCCGTCTTTACTAAAAAATACAAAAATTAGCTGGGTGTGGTGGCATGCACCTGTAGTCCCAGCTACTCGGGAGGCTGAGGCAGGAGAATTGCTTGAACTCAGGAGGCGGAGACTGCAGTGAGCCGGGGTTGTGCCACTGCACTCCAGCCTGGTGCCGGGTGACAGAGCAAGACTCGGTCTCAAAAAAAAAGAATAAAAAGGATCATCAGTGTTCTACACAATATTTTCAATCTTTGGTTTTTAGTGAGGTTAAAAATCTCATCCAGCATTTCTTTTTTTTGGACTCTGGAGTAAGAACTGATGAAAACAAAAATCACATGAAGTAATCTGTGTAAAAGACATGGTGCATGTTGTTCTTATCAATTCAGGATCTATGCTTAGAATAGCTAGTTGTCAGGAGGTGGAAGTTGCAGTGAGCCAAGGTCATGCCACTGCACTCCAGCCTGGCGAAAGAGCGAGACTCCATCTCAAAAAAAAAAAAAAAAAAAAAAAAAAAAAAGAATAGCTGGTTGTCAGTGTCCTGACCTTAGCACAGATTTCAAGTATTCTAACATACAGTTAGGCTTCAGGAGAGAAAAGATTAGTAGCATACCATGAGGCACCAATGTGGAATGACCTATCTGGGGGACACTCCAAGGACTCCACTCCTGTCGGCCATCTCCTCGGGCGCAGACTCTGAACTGATAATCAACATTGGGGTCTATGTGCAATACTATGAATTCAGTTTCAGAACCTACATATACATCCTCAAAATGATTTGAAGTAGATTTACGAAACTGGAGCCTATAATCTTGGGCTGTAAAGTCGTCATCCACCTAGGGAGAAAAACTTTATGTTAGGTAAAAAACAGAAAATGACTTCTCTCAGCATCACTGCTTAAAAACTTTGAATGGAGCTATTTTGGACCAGGCAGACAGGCCCACATGCTGAATATGGAGTATTCCTGAGAAGGCCACAGGAAATATGCCATCACATCATTATCTCCTTCTCTTTTTTTGAGACAGAGTCTCACTTTCTTACCCAGTCTGGACTGCAGTGGTGCGATCTCAGCTCACTGCAGCCTTGACCTCCCGGGTTCAAGCCATCCTCCTCTCTCAACCCAAGTAGCTGGGACTACAGGCGCACATCCCCATGTCCAGTTAATTTTTTGTAGAGACGGGGTTTCACCATATTTCAGGTCTTGAACTCCTGAGCTCAAGCAATCTTCCTATCTCAGCCTCTCAAAGTGTGAGCCACTGCACCTAGATTCCCTTCTTTTCTTTATTGGATCATGTGTTCTATATTTCTCAGTCTGATATAAAAATGTCTGCTTCCTTTGAAGAAATGGCATGTTTTCTAATCAATGCCAAAGATAAAACATTCAAGATTCAATGATAAGTTTCCCACAACTATACATCATTCATAATAACCAAGAGTTAATTAACATATAGTATACAGGACCCCCATTAATTTTTAGGGCTCCTGCATATATTCTGTATGTTAATTTAATTAGCCACCCAATAGAAAAATGGGTAAAAGACATAAATAAGCATTCTACAGGATAAGAAATATAAATAGCCAAAAATATACATTATAAATATTCACCCTAATTTGTAATATGGAAAATGCAACCTAAAAACCACAACAAGGCAAGAAGTGGTGGCTCATGTCTATAATCCTAACACTTTGAGAGGCAAAATCAGGTGGAACACTTAAGCCCAGGAGTTCAAGGCCAGCCTGGGCAACATGGCAAAACCTCATCTCTAGAAAAAATAACAAAAATGAGCTGTGCGTGCAAGCACATGCCTGTAGTCTCAGTTACTTGGGGCTGAAGCAGGAGGATCACTTGAGCCCAGGAGGTCAAGGCTGGAGTGAACGTGATTGTGCCACTATACTCCAGCCTGGGTGACAGAATGAGACCCTGTCTCAAAAACAAATAAATAAAATAAAACCACAACAAGTCACATTTAGGCAAAAATATAAAGTCTCACAATGCCAATTATTGGTCAAGATACAGAGTAACAGAAACTCACATACTGCCTGGAAGGCTAAAATGATACAATCATCTTGCAGAAAGTCTGTTATTACCTATTAGCATATGGATCCAATACTCTAAGAAGACCTCATAATTTTACAGCTAGGTAAATATTAATATTTTACAAGTTTCACATATGTTCACAAGGAAACACAAGTAAAAATACTTATAGAAAAAAAACTGGAAGTAACTAGGCCCGCTGATAGGAGTTCGAGGCCAACATGGCAAAGCTCTGTCTTGACTAAAAATACAAAAAAAAGTAGCTGAATTAGCTACTGAACCTGGTGGGGAGTGGGGCATGGTGCAGAGGTTGCAGTGAGCCAAGGTAGCACCACTGCACTCCAGCCTGGGCAACTGATCATGAGCAAGACCTCATCTCAAAAAAAAAGAAAAAGCGAGGCACAGTGGTTCACACCTGTAGTCCCAGCACTTTGGGAGGCCGAGGTTGGTGGATCACTTGAGGTCAGGAGTTCGAGATCAGCCTACCCAACGTGGTGAAACCCTGTCTCTACTAAAAATACAAAAATAAGCTGAACGTGGCGGTGACAGGCGCTTGTAATCCCAGGTACTGGGAAGGTTGAGGCAGGAGAATCACTTGAACCTGGAAGGTGGAGATTGCAGTGAGCTGAGATCAAGATACTGCACTCCAGCCTGGACTCCGTCTCAAGAGAAAAAAAAAGAAAATCTCGTGTAGCTAAAAAGATAAAACAAGAAAAAGAAAGATAGTTTTTATCAGCATCATAAGACAGGGCGGAAACAAATACATAAAATTGTTTTCAGATTCAAGCACTCATCTCTGAATGATGTATTTGTCAACAGCCAAATACTATGACTAATTTGGACATGGTTTCTATTAAAATACAGTAACGCATATTCATAATATAATTTAACACAAAAAACTCTCAGCAATACTAAGTGTGTAATGAAACTATACTTTAGGAATCTTATTTCAAAGGTATTAGTTCAGTGTTGAACACAAAAAATATTTTTTTGAGATGGATTCCATCTCACTCTGTTGCCCAGGCTGGAGTGTGGTGGCACGATCTTGGTCTACTGTAACCACTGCCTCCTAGGCTGAAGCCATCCTCCCACCTCAGTCTCTTACGTAGCTGGGACTCACAAATGCACGTCACTATGCTAGCTAATTACTTTTTTTGTATTTTTGGTAGCGATGGAGTTTCACCATGTTGCCCAGGTTGGTTGAACTCCTGAGCTCAAGCAATCCACCTGCCTCAACCTCCCAAAGTGCTGGGATTAAAGGCGTGAGCGTGGTCCAGAAAATATTAAGACATTCAATATTCACTATCATCTTTTGGCTTTTCTAATAAGTAGAAATGGAAGAAATCCTCAAGTCACTGAGGTAAGCCTAGAAAATATGTGATGAGAAACAATGTTGTAATACAGAGACTTTAAAAAGTTCTTTCAAAACTATTTATCTAAAACTGGAAGAGCAGCTGGGCACAGTGGCTCATGCCTGTAATCCTAGCACTTTGGGAGGCCAAGGCAGGTGGATCACCTGAGGTCAGGAGTTCAACACCAGCCTAGCCAACTGGTGAAACCTCGTCTCTACAAAAAATAGAAAAATTACCCGGGCGTGGTGGCAGGTGCCTATAATCCCAACTACTCAGGAGGCTGAATCAGGAGAATAGCTTGAACCCAGGGGAAGTGGGGAAGAGGGGGCGCAGAGGTTGCAGTAAGCTGAAATCATGCCACTTCACTCCAGCCTGAGCAAAAGAGTGAAACTCCATCGCAAAAACAAAAAGAAAGAAAATGAAACTTGAAGAGCTACCTCAGTATTCTCTGTGACTTCATTTTAGTCAAAGATTGTTGTTTGGGAAGAAAAAAATATATTCAAAAGTAGTTAATGAAAACATCTGACTGGCCCCTAAATCTCAAACCCATAATGTGGAAACCATTTCTAGAATTCTGAATTACATACCTTACACCATCGTACAATGATGCCTCCAGGTTTCTCTATTAGTTCTTCTATCTGTACTGGTGGGCGAGATGCTACTGTTCCATGCTTAAAAATGTGGTCTTTCACTATGTTAAGAATTGAGTCATCCAACTGAGCAGATAAACAAGGCACATCAACCAGTAAAGGTACTTCTGGCAAGCTGAGGAAACAAAGCTCATGTGTTATGAGACCTCTAACTGATGGCTAAAAAATACAAGAAATATTTTAGAGCAGTCACATGCTTGAAAGATCCTGAAGCTCCCAGTAAGTAATTCTCATGGCAGTAGGGGATGTGCAAGATGTTACACAAAGATTCTCTTTTCAAATAAATATAAGCAAGACAAAATTGGTAGGACCCCAATTGTCCAGTTTATGCCAAAAGATCTGGTTTATTGGAATATGACTCAGTTTCAACAATACATTGAGAATTTCTAAAATTTTACAATTCTTTTATACTTTGGATTGAAAAAAATCTGAGCCATACTAAAGTACCAAAGATTATAATCACAACTATTTCATATTAGTAACAGTGGTAATCGGCAGTGAAACCCCCCTCCTTTTTTTTTTTGACACAGTCTCATTGATATGGTGTGATCTCGGCTCACTGCAACCTCCACCTCCCAGATTCAAGCGATTCTCCTGCCTCAGCCTCCCGAGTAGTTGGGACTACAGGCACATGCTACCACATCTGGATAATTTTTTATTTTGTTTTATATTTATTTTAAGATGAAGTCTTGTTCTGTTGCCCAGGCTGGAGTGCAGTGGTGCAATCTTGGCTCACTGCAACCTTCGCCTCCTGGGTTCAAGCGATTCTCCTGTCTCAGTCTCCCCAGTAGCTGGATGACAGGTGTGCACTACCATGCCTAATTAATTTTTTTTTTTTTTGAGACAGTCTCGCTCTGTCACTAGGTGCCAGGCTGGAGTACAGTGGCGCAATCTCGGCTCACTGCAATCTCCGCCTCCAGGGTTCTAGCAATTCTCCTGCCTCAGCCTCCCGAGTAGCTGGGACTATAGGCACGTGCCACCACGCCCAGCAAATTTTTGTATTTTTTAGTAGAGACGGGGTTTCACCATGTCGGCCAGGATGGTGTTGATCTCTTGACCTCTTGATCTGCCCGCCTCGGCCTCCCAAAGTGCTGGGATTACAGGCGTGAGTCACCGTGCCCAGTCTTTTCTTTTTTTTGAGATGGAGTCTCACTCTGTCGTCTGACCACCATGCTTGGCCTGAAAAACCTTGAAATACATATTCTCTTATCTCCCTTAATCAGAATCTTGAACAGAGGGAGGAAAGAAGCAGACATAGTTTAAATGATTAAAAGTAAGTCCAAAAGGCACGAACTCTTTTACCTGTCCAACTGAATGTGCGAGGCCTTTTTGGTAAAGCTCCACAGTTTCTCATTCTCTTCTCCCACACCATCAAGCATGGCGATCTCACCTACAATCAAGAATAAGAGAACTAGTACAGTGAAAATGATCAAATGTAAAGTAATCAACATAGCTGGTGGCTCACACCTGTAATCCCAGCACTTTGGAATGCTGAGGTGGGCAGATCATGAGGTCAGGAGATTGAGACCATCCTGGCCAACATAGTGAAACCCCATCTCTACTAAAATACATAAAAATTAGCCGGGCATGGTGGCTCACATCTGTAGTCCCAGCTACTCGGGATGCTGAGGCATGGGAATCGCTTGAACCTGGGAGGTGGAAGTTGCAGTGAGCCGAGATCATGCCACCGCACTCCAGTCTGGCGACAGAGCAAGACTCCATCTCAAAAAAACAAAACCAAACAAAAAATAATCAATACAACTCATGTCTGGATGGGTCTCTAGTGTTCTTGGAAATAGTTCTTAAGTGATGCCGCAGTCAAATTCCCAAAAAGTTAAAGCAGAAACTATTTTAGAAGTGACTCTAAGACCAAATCCAAGAGGAAAAGGGATACGTAGTGGGAACATTTTGCTAGAGATGAAAAATCTATCTGCTGTATACGAGGAAATCAACCTATTTTAGGCAAAGCAGAAGGCCCAAGGACTTCTTCCCATCTCTCCTACAGAATCATTATGAACTTTAATATGAGCCAGTACAAAATACTGCCCTGAGAGGAGCAATAGGGGATAAGGTGTTTTTGTTTTCGTTTTTTTTGAGACTGGGTTTCATTCTGTCACCCAGGTTGGAGTGCAGTGGTAAGATCATAACTCACTGCAATCCTCCCACCTCAACCTCCCAAGTAGCTGTGACCACAGGTGCACGCCACCATGCCCAGCTATTTTTTATTTTTGGAAAAGACGAGGTCTCACTATGTTGCCCAGGCTGGGCATAGGGCTTGAAAAGCCGAATGATGCAGCTATGTTTTCCTAAAAGAGTATCATACATCAGATTATTCAACAGAACACTAAAATGTTACATAGAGGCATATGAAAATGACCAACTTCTATGTCCTTCCACAGCCCTGAAGAACACTGCCAGAACTCTACTCCATGTGATGTGCCCTGTAGTTACTCAAGTTTTTTGAGACCATATGACCTTCTCCTTCACCAAAAGAAAAACAGAGACATGGCCAGGCACTGCGGCTCATGCCTGTAATCTCGGCACTTTGGCATGCCGAGGCGGGCAAATCACCAGAGATCAGGAGTTCAAGACCAGCTTGGTCAACATGGTGAAACCCTGTCTCTACTAAAAATACAAAAATTAGCTGGGCATGGTGGCATGCACCTGTAGTCCCAGCCAGTAAGGGAGGCTCAGGCATGAGAATCGCTTGAACTCGGGAGGTGGAGGTTGCAGTGAGCTAAGATCGCACCGCTGTACTCCAGCCTGGGCAACAGTGTGAGACTCTGGCTCAAAATTAAATAAATAAATAAAATCCCCAAAATTCCATAAATAAGTTTTTGTCCTTTGGGAGAGGAGGAAAGAGTCTGACATTAAAAATATTCCTGAAGTTTCCTTCTGCTGCTGAGATGTATAATAATTTTTTTTTAATTAAAAAACATAAAATAGGCCAGTATAGTGGCTCACGCCTGTAATCCCAACACTTTGGGAGACTGAGGTGGGTGGATTGCTTGAGGTCAGGAGTTCAAGACCAGCCTGGTCAACACTGTGAAACCCTGCTTCTACTAAAAATACAAAAAATTAGCTGGGCATGGTGGTGGGCGCCTATAATCCTAGATATTCAGGATGCTGAGGCAGGAGGCTCGCTTGAGCCCGGGAAGCGGAGGTTGCAGTGAGCTGAGATCACACCACTGCACTCTAGCCCAGGCAACACTGTGAGACTCTCAAAACAAAACAAAAAACCCATAAAATAAAATTTTGGACATATAAAAATATTCAAGTATTAAATGCTATAACAATCACACATATGCCTCAAAGAATTTCTTCTTTTTGAGACAAGAGTCTCACTCTGTCACCCAGGCCGGAGTGTGATGCATAATCACAGCTCACTGCAGCCTCAAACTCCTGGGTTCAGGGGATCCTCCTGCCTCAGCTTCCCAAATAGCAAGGACTACAGGAATGTGCCACTAGGCCCAGCCAGGATTTATCTTCTAAAATAAAAACAAATGATCAGTCCTCAGGGTGATAAGTGCATACTCCTGGTCTGTGCTGCACTGCCTCTGGGTTTGTTTCCAAACGCAAAGGCACCAAGGAAAGACATTCCGTGGTACTGCTAAAAATATTTTCTCAAAAGCACTGTTATGGTCAGTGGTAAATAAACACTTCTCACTGAAGATAAGACAAAAATGTAGCTAGCATGTAAAGATAACACTAGTACTATACTCTAAGTGGGACCAAAAGATGAACTTCTAGGTATAGTGAGCCTTGTGAGTCATCCACACTTTGTCCCACACCACTCTCAGGACTCATTCTGCAGAAGGCATGGAATTCAGTCTCCTTTCCTGGCTCCTTCCTCAAATGACCTTTAAATGTCGGTGACCCTTAGTGTTCTAATCTCTTTCATCTGCTCTTCTCACTTTACATGGTGTCCCTTGATGATTTCCTTATTCTGATGGATTGAAATTTGATATATATGCCATTAACTGCCATACTGACATCTCCTGGTATGATCTGTCTCCTAAGAATCATACCCATATTTCCATCTTAAGCACCTCAAGGCCGGGTGTGGTGGCTCATGCCTGTAATCCCAGCACTTTGGGAGGCCAAGGCAGGTGGATCACGAGGTTGGGAGATCGAGACCGTCCTGGCCAACATGGTAAAACCCCATCTCTACTAAAATACAACAAAAAATTAGCCGGGCGTGGTGGCGGGCACCTGTGGTCTCAGCACTCCGGAGGCTGAGGCGGGGAACCGCTTGAACTCAGGAGGTGGAGGTTGCAGTGAGCCAAGATTGTGCCACTGCACTCCAATGCACTCCAGCCTGGGGACAGAACAAGACTCCATCTCAAAAAAAACCACCTCAAACTCACCATGCCCAAGCCAAATGCCTAACTATGTACTAAAGCCCTCCCCTCCTCCTTCATTTCCTGTGTCAAAAAGTAAAACACAGTACTGCCATTTACTCAGAATCCAAAAGCAGGCTGATTTTGGTCATCACAAATCCTTCCCTTTCCACTCCATCACATATGTAGGTAATCATCTACAGACAAGTCATGCTCAGTAAAATCATCAATAATTCTGTTTCTGCAGGAAAAAAAAGTCTCTATCTTGTTTTTTTGTTTTTTGAGTTCGGAGTCTTGCTCTGTCACCCAGGGTAGAGTGCAGTGGCATGATCTCAGCTCACTGCAACCTCCACCTCCCAGGTTCAAGAGATTCTCCTGCCTCAGCCTCCCAAGTAGCTGGAACTACAGGCGTATGCCACCACGACCAGCTAATTTTTGTATTTTTAGTAGAGACAAAGTTTTGCCATATGGGCCAGGCTGGTCTCGAACTCCTGACCTCAGGTGACCCACCAGCCTTGGCCTCCCAAATTGCTGGGATTATAGGTGTAAGCCACTGCACCTGACCTTTTGTTTTTATTTTTAAGAGACAGGGTCTCATGCTATCGCCCAGGCTGGAGTGCAGTGGTGCAATCATAGCTCAAGTCTCTTCTCACATCAGCATCCTGAGTAGTTGGGACTACAGGCGTGTGCCACCATGCCTGGCTAATTAAAAAAAAAAAATTTTTGTAGAGACAAGGATCTCACTATGTTGCCCAGGCTGGTCTCAAACGCCTCACCTCAAATGATCCTCCTCTCCTGTCTAGCCTCCCGGAGTGCTGGGATTACAGGTGTGAGCCATTGTGCCTGGCTCAAAATCTCTTAAAACCAGTCCTGCCTCATCTTTATCAGCCATTGCCTTTACCATTCCCACCTAGATTATTCTCTAATAACTTTTTTTGAGACTGAGTTTAAAAAAAAAAAAAAAGTTTTTTTGAGATTGCTCCTGGACTCAAGCAATCCACCCACCATGGCCTCCCAAAGTGCTGGAATTACAAGCATGAACCACTGTGTCCGGTTTCTAATAGCTTTTTTTTTTTGAGACGAAGTCTCGCTCTGTCACCCAGACTGGAGTGCAGTGGTGCAATTGTGGCTCACTGCAACCTCTGTCTCCCAGGTTCAAGTGATTCTCCTGCCTCGGCCTCCTGAGTAACTGGAATTACAAGTGCCCACCACCACACCTGGGTAACTTTTGTATTTTTAGTAGAGATGAGGTTTTACCATGTTGGCCAGGCTGATCTCAAAATCTTGACATCAAGTGATCCTTGTGTCCTCACATCGCAAAGTGCTGGGATTACAGGCCTGCACTATCCCGCCGACCTTGGCCTCTAGTAACTTTTTAATCAGTCTCTTTTCCATCTAGTCTTTAAATCTCTGATACAGTCTCCAAAACATAGGCAGGGTCTTTTTTGTAAAATGCACATCTGATCATGTCACTCTGCTGTTTAAAATGCTTCAACTGATCCTTGAATATGCCATTCACTCCATTTATGATGACATTACTTCTGCTTGGAATCATGCTGTTACCTCCTCTTTTTCCTATGTCTGTTTGATGAATTGCTTCAAGCCTCTGTGGAACTCTTCTTACAGAAAGCTATCCTACACTTTTCCAGACAAAGTTAAGTACTTCCTCCTCTATGCTCCAATAAGGTCTTAGATCTTTCTTATCATGTATTTCTCTCTCACTGGGCTCTGAATCCCAAAGGAAATAACTCTTACCTATTTTATTATTTTATTGATTGATTGACAAAGTCTCACTCTGTTACCAGGCTGGAGTGCAGTGTCACAATCTTGGCTCACTGTAACCTCTGCCTCCTGGGTTCAAGTGATTCTCCTGTCTCAGCCTCCCAAGTAGCTGGAACTACAGGCGCGCACCACAACACCCAGCTAATTTTTGTATTTTTAGTGAGACAGGGTTTCACCATGTTAGCCAGTATGGTCTCGATCCCTTACCCTCATGATCCACCTGCCTTGGCCTCCCAAAGTGTTGGGATTATAGGTGTAAACCACTGTATCCAGCCTATTTATTTACTTATTTATTTTTAGATGGAGTCTCACTATGTTGCCCAGGCTGGAGTGCACTGGTGCAATCTCGGCTCACTGCAACCTCTGCCTCCTGGATTCAAGCAATTCTCCTGCCTCAGCCTCCCAAGTAGCTAGGACTACAGGCACATGCCACCAATGCCCAGCTAATTTTTTGTATTTTTAGTAGAGATGGGGTTTCACCATGTTAGCCAGGATGGTCTTGATCTCCTGACCTCATGATCCGTCTGCCTCAGCCTTCCAAATTACTGGGATTACAGGCGTAGGCCACCGCATCCAGCCTCTTATTCTTATATTTTTTGAGACAGGGTCTCACTTTGTCACCCAGGCTGGAGTACAGTGGTGCAATCATGGCCCGATGCCACCTCGATCTCCAGGCCTCCAGGGATCCTCCCACCTTGGCCTCCTAATTAGTTGGACTCCAGCTGCATACCACCATGACCAGCAATTTTTTTTTTTTTTTTTTTTGGAGGGACAGGCTGTTGCCTAGGTTGGTCTTGAACTCCTGATGTCAAGTGATCCACTTGCTTCAGCCTCCCAAAGTGGTAGTATTACAGGCGTGAGCCACTGCACCTGGCTCCCTTGTTTATGTTATGTACCTGACAAAGACCTATGTTGAAAGAAGGTGGGAAGACATAAAGAAAGGAAGGCAGCAGGGCATGACTCATGGAAATAACTGGCTAAAGACAGGAGTAAACACCAATCACATTTTTTTAACTTTCTAAATAGAACAATGGAGACTATAATTGTGGTGGCTCTTGCCTGTAATCCCAGCACTTTGGGACGGCAAGGTGGGAAAATTGCTTGAGAACAGCCTGGGCAACATGGTGAAACCCTGTCTCTAACAAAAATTTAAAAATTAGCCGGGCATGGTGGCACACACCTATAATCCCAGCTATTTGGTAGGCTAAGGTGGCAGGATCACCTGAGCCATTGAGGTCAAGACTGCAGGGGGCCCTGAGAGTGCTACTATACTCTGGCCTGGGCAACAGAGCAAGAGCAAAACCCCTGTATCAAAAAAAAAAAATGTGGTCTTTCACTATGATATTATATATATATATATAAAATTCGATTGTTTGTAACACAGAGGATAAATGCTTGAGGGGATGGATACCCCATTTTCCATGATGTGATTATTACACGCTGCATGCTTGTATCAAAACATCTCAATGTGCTCCATATCATTTATTCTTTATTGTTTTATAACACTTCAATTGCACTTGCCATGGGGATACCTAATGGTATATCTGTCATCCTATATTACAAACTGTCTCTAGGTAAGAACATTCTAAAAACCCCACAGCTGGCAAGAAGCCTGCTATCTTGAGAAATCAGCAAAGTATCAATCTGAACAAACCATCTTTAACATGTGATATGGTTTGGCTCTGTGTTCCCACCCAAATCACATCTCAAATTGTACTCCCATAATTCCCATGTGTTGTGGGAGGGACTCGGTGGGAGATAAGTGAATCATGGGGCGGTTTCTCCCATACTGCTCTCAGTAGTGAATAAGTCTCATAAAATCTAATGGCATTTTAAGGGGAAACCCCTTTTGCTAGGCTCTTATTCTCTTCTCTTTCCTGCCACCAGGTAAGACGTGCCTTCACCTTCTGCCATGATTGTGAGGCCTCCCCAGCCATGTGGAACTGTAAGTCCATTAAACTTCTTTCTTTTGTAAATTGCCCAGTCTTAGGTATGTCTTTAGCAGCAGTGTAAAAATGAACTAATACAACAGGCTCCCTGGTCTCCCACCTTCTCGGACTAAGTCCTCTGCAGTGCTGACTCCATGTTCTATGAGCTTCTGGCAGTCATCTAGTGGTTTAATGGTCTCCTGTTCAATGGTGTCCACCTCTTGCAAAAGGGTCACCAATCGCTCATCCAGGAGCTTCCCAAGGGTTCCCTTTAAATCATTAAAATGCTGTTTGAGAACATCCCTTGTCTGTGATGCACTCTCTTTGATCTAAAAAGAAATAACAAAATACTCAAAATCAGAATCTCTAAAAAAGGCTAAGCCATAGGGGTAATTCACAGTAATCTAAAAGCACCGAATATAACTATCATCTTCAATTTATTAAAAAAAAAAAATTGAAATTATATAAATTTAAGGTGTGATGTTTTGATATACATATACATAGTGAACTGTTATTATAGTCAAGCTAATTAACATGTCCGTCTCTTCACATTGTTACCTTTGTGTGTGGTGAGAACACTTAAGATCTCTCCTAACACATTCCAAGTATACACTACAGTATTATTAACTATTGTCCCCATCCTGTACTTGAGATCTCTAGAATTTACTCCTCTTAAATAACTGAAACTTTGTACCCTTTGGCCAACATCTCCTCATCCCCAACTCCATCCCTGGCAAGCACCATTCTATTTTCTGCTTCTATGATTTTGACCTTTTTTTTTTTTTTGAGACGGAGTTTCACTCTTGTTACCCAGGCTAGAGTGCAATGGTGTGATCCTGGCCCACCGCAACCTCCTCCTCCTGGGTTCAAGCAATTCTCCTGCCTCAGCCTCCAGAGTAGCTGGGACTACAGGCGTGCGCCACCATGACCAGCTAATTTTTTTGTATTTTGAGTAAAGACGGGGTTTTACCATGTTGACCAGGATGGTCTCGATCTCTTGACCTTGTGATCCACCCGCCTCAGTCTCCCAAAGTGCTGGGATTATAGGCGTGAGCCACCGCGCACGGCCGATTTTGACCTTTTTTAGATGCTACATATAAATGAGACCATGCAGTATTTTTATTTCTGTATCTGGCTTATTTCACTTAGAGTAATGTCCTTCAGGTTCATCCATGCTGTCACAAATAACAGAATTTCCTTCTCTTTTAAGGTTGAATAGTATTCCATTGTATATATACCTCTTCCATTCATTGATAAACCAAATGTGATTCATTTGCATAAACAGGCAGAAGCACACAAAGTTGGCCTTCAAGTCAGATAGAATAAGCCAAATCTTGGTTTCATCATTCGCAAACTATGTCAATTTGGTTAAGTTAATTAAGTTTTCCATGCTTCAATTTCCTTATTTGTCAAATGAGCATTATAATAGTTACTTTGGCCAGGCACGGTGCCTCCCTCCTGTAATCCCAGCACTTTGGGAGGCCGAGGTTGGCAGATCATTTGAGGTCAGGAGTTCGAGACCAGCCTGGCCAACATGGGGAAATCCCATCTCTACTAAAAATACAAAAATTGCTGGACGCGGTGGCTCAAGCCTGTAATCCCAGCACTTTGGGAGGCCGAGGCGGGTGGATCACGAGGTCAAGAGATCGAGACCATCCTGGTCAACATGGTGAAACCCCGTCTCTACTAAAAATACAAAACATTAGCTGGGCATGGTGGCACGTGCCTGTAATCCCAGCTACTCAGGAGGCTGAGGCAGGAGAATTGCCTGAACCCAGGAGGCGGAGGTTGCGTTGAGCCAAGATCGCGCCATTGCACTCCAGCCTGGGTAACAAGAGCGAAACTCCGTCTCAAAAAAAAAAAAAAAAAAAAATTAGCTGGACATGGTAGGGTGGGCCTGTAATCCCAGCTACCTGGGAGGCTGAGGCAGGAGAATTGCTTGAAACCGGGAGATGGAGGTTGCAGTGAGCCGAGATTGCACCACTGCATTCCAGTTGGGCGACCGAGACTCCATCTCAAAAAAGAAATAAATAGGCTGGACGCAATGGCTTATGCCTGTAATCCCAGCACTTTGGAAAGCTGAGGCGTGTGGATCACGAGGTCAGGAGATTAAGACCATCTGGGCCAACATGGTGAAACCCTGTTCTACTAAAAATACAAAAAAATTAGCTGCGTGTGGTGGCACACGCCTGTAGTCCCAGCTACTTGGGAGGCTGAGGCAGAAGAAATGCTTGAACCCAGGAGGCAGAGATTGCAGTGAGCCGAGATCGTGCCACTCCAGATGGGTGACAGTGCGAGACTCCGTTTCAATTAACAAAAAAAAAAAAATAGAAAGAAATAATAGTTACCTCATGGAGTTGCTTTGAGGATAAATTAAAATAATCTATGTACTACAGTGGGTAAAATAAATGGCACATTGTTGTACTTGATAAACAAATGGTATAAATTATTATCTGTACAAAGTAGTTCTTGAAAATTGTATGTTTCAATACTAAAAATTGTTTAATTATGAGAGGATTAAAATACATTGACTGAAAAACAGCAAAGAAATGGTAGATTAGAAAGCCATGGTCAGGGCAAGGCAAGGTAGCTCACGCCTGTAATCCTAGCACTTTGGGAAGCCAAGGCAGGTAGATCACCTGAGGTCAGGTGTTCAATACCAGCCTGGCTAACATGGTGAAACCCTATCTCCACTAAAAATGCAAAAATTAGCTAGGTGTGGTGGCAGGCGCCAGTAAATCCCAGCTACTCAGGAGGCTGAGGTAGAATTGCTTGAACCCAGTAGATGAAGGTTGCAGTGAACCGAGATCGCACCACTGTACTCCAGCCTTGGCGAAAAACACTCCATCTCAAAAAAAAAAAAAAGCCATGGTTAGGTGCAGTGGCTCACACATATGATCTCTGTACTTTGAGAGGTTGAGGCAGCAAGATCACTTGAACCCAGGAGTTTGAGACTAGCCTGGGCAATATGGAGAAACGCTGTCTCTATAAGTAACACAAAAATCAGCCAGGCATGGTGGCACATACCTGTAGTCCCAGCTACTTAGGAGGCTGAGGTGGGAGGATCACCTGAGCCCAGGGGGTCGAGGCTGTAGTAAGCTGTGACTGTACCACTGCACTCTAGCTTGGGTGACACAGTGATACTCTGTCTCTAAATAAATAAAAAGCCACAAAAAAAAAATTACCTCATGGATAAAATGCCCTCATTGTGCTAAAAGAAAACCAAGAATTTATTTCAAATCCAAAGAGGTTTGTAGGAGGCAGAGCTGGGACAATGACTTAATCCTTTTTGAATCATAGTACACTTTGTGAATCTAAATGAGAGGTTTATAAAGCCTCTTCCTTTCAAAGTTATTGAAAAAGAAGAAAAAACAAAGCCTCTTCCCCCCAAAATGAATTATCTGTACCCTAAAAAATTATTCTATTTCAAAAGTTTACAAATTCCCTCAGAGCCAAACCATGGCTTGCCTGGAGCAGTAATTACAAACTTTGTTTACAGAAGGAGCATCTAGGCTACTTGTTATAATCAGACTGCAGAGGTCCATTCCAGACCTACTGAACCAGAAACTGACAGGAGGGGCTAAATGATTGTATGGATGGAGTTCTTATTTTTTCCAAGCACACCTATAATTCTGCAGCCCACACTTTAAGAAACATTGCCCTGGGCCAGGCGCGGTGGCTCAAGCCTGTAATCCCAGCACTTTGGGAGGCCGAGGTGGGTGGATCACGAGGTCAAGAGATCGAGACCATCCTGGTCAACATGGTGAAACCCCATCTCTACTAAAAATACAAAAAATCAGCTGGGCATGGTGGCACGTGCCTGTAATCCCAGCGACTCAGGAGGCTGGGGCAGGAGAATTGCCTGAACCCAGGAGGGCGGAGGTTGCGGTGAGCCGAGATCGCGCCATTGCACTCCAGCCTGGGTAACAAGAGCGAAACTCCATCTCAAAAAAAAAAAAAAAAAAAAGAAACATTGCCCTAAATCTACAGATCTCAGATTAAGAACCCATATTCTAGGGGATATGACAGTGAGCCACTGCACCTGGTCCAGATTTTTATTTTTAAAGACTGCAGATAACAGGCCAGGCATGGTGGTTCACGCCTGTATTCCCAGCATTTTGGGAGGCCCAGATGGGAGGATCATCACTGCACCCTGACCTGGGCAACAGAGCAAGGCCGTCTCTCAAAAAACAATTCAGGTAACATACAATACATTTTCTCTCACTTAATGGGAAAATTCTAACTACAAGCCACTCTGTTAAGTTAAAGCAAAAACATACTTTACTTTCCAGATATTATCATCTTAATTTCTTTTTTTTTTTTTAAAGATGGGGTTTCACCATGATGGCCAGGCTGGTCTTGAACTCCTGACCTCAGGTGATCCACCCACCTCAGCCTCCCAAAGTGCTAGGATTACAGGCGTGAGCCACCGTGCCCGGCTATCATCTTAATTTCATATGACATATTGTTTATTACCATAACCCTTTTGTTAACTTTCTCTTAGCAAGGAAGTTTAAAGTGTAAAAAAAGTCCACCAAGAAAGAAAATATAAAAATATGAATAACAGATAATATTTCAATAGTTAATAAATTTAAAAGCTTTATATTTATTCTGTAAATTCTCTCTAAATTTAAAAAGCAGAATACAATATTGTTTTCCAGCAATGTTCATGACCATGTAAAAACAAAAAATGCCCATGGCCAAGGACTACAACAGAAAAAGAACAGTCTGATTTACTGGGTGGACAGATCATAGAAACAATTTTCTCTCCTTTTTATTTTTTTTGAGACGGAGTTTCACTCTTGTCGCCCAGGCTGGAGTACAGTGGCATGATCTCAGCTCACTGCAACCTCTGCATCTTGGGTTCAAGAGATTCTCCTGCCTCAGCCTCCTGAGTAGCTGGGATTATAGGCATGTGCCACCACACCTGGCTAATTTTTGTATTTTTAGTAAAGACAGGGTTTCACCATGTTGGCCAGGTTGGTCTTGAACTCCTGATCTCCGGTGATCCGCTGCCTCAGCCTCCCAAAGTACTGGGATTACAGGCATGAGCCACCTCATCTGGCCCTTTTATCTCCATTTGACATTAATGCAGTTATAATAATATTTGTACAGTTAGTAAAATAATTCTTTAAATCCCAAAGAGAAATTCTAAATTAATTGTTAACTAATTTCTGTAGTTACCAAAGAACTTCTGTGAAATAAATCCAAGCCATTTTAAAAAAAGAAAGAAAGAAAGCCCATAAGCCCAAATTGTACTTCATTCAGCTCACCATTGAGCTATAAGATCTTTGCAAACTGGGCCCTCATCTACATAGAACCTGGCAAA